TGTTAACTTTGTTAACCGATCTTGACTGTTAATTTGAATAATAAACGGTTGTGATTTAATGATATTTAAAAATTAATTATTAAATTAATATTTTCAATTAACATATGTGAACAAAATATTAAAGGGTATTTAGGTAAAAAGTAATCTATCTTTGATACACGAGTTGTCAGACATATGAACAATTTGTGTATATCTTCAAACCACATCAAACAAAAAAGATTAGACATATGAACAACATGTGAACCGTATGAACGTCTTCTGTATATTCAGGAGCCAACTCTGCTGTATGTACATGAACACCTATAAACCAAGACATCTAGGGCTGTGTGTTTTCATACGTGTTCATATGTTTTCACATGTTCTGTGTGTGTGTGTGTGTGTGTATGTATGTATTCATATGAACATCTAGTGACTTGAATATACATGAACACTTACGCATCACGACATCTAAGGCTGTGTGATTTCTGATGTGTTCATATGTCAAAGATGAGAACTGTCGATTAAAATAAATGTGAATTATAGAACATGAACATGTGTGAAACCCCAATGTCAATATTGCATCATGATCAATTGTGATATTTTCAAATTTGTAACTCCCAATTAATTATTTGGGAGTTACATAAAATGACAAATTACTTAAATACCCTTGTATTTAATATATAAGTTACATTTGAACCAAATGAAAAGATGGAATATGATTGGTTGAGCTTGGTTAACATAGTTAACACAAAAAAATTGGTTAGTATTTGAACCAAACGCGCTATCTCTCTATCTCTGTCTCTCTCTCTCTCTCTCTCTCTCTATATATATATATATATATATATATATATATATAATTATTAAGAGTTTAGAAGTTTGACGGTTTTAATCCCTCAATAATTATTGACCGTTTTTTAAGTACAATACAATTTTGGAAAGTTAACGAAAATGTTTTTAAAACTCGGATCTTACAGGAGATCAGAGGTGGACCAGAGCAACTAAGACGGACCAGAACTGTCCTCATATAGAGCTCTGTATAGACAAGCCAAAAGCTTCGCAAGTACCATGCAGAGGTTCTGCAACTACCATGCAGAGGCTCTGCATGTTGTTCTTCATGCTGCTTCGTGCGATCAAAACCTGAAAGACCAGAGCTCGCGAAGATCAAACTTTACTGTGGACAAAAAATGGATCAGGGGATCAAAATCAGAGTCGATGGTCCAGAGCTCTTGGAATGAACGTGCTATGCATTTTGTAAAAAAATAATAAAAATATGAATAAATATTAAGAATTTGTAAAACAAAAGTTATAATAGACGTAAATAAAATTATGGAAAAGTATTTGGTATTGGGTTTTATGGGATCAGATATATTGGGTTAAAGACATATTTGATATTATGAAATAGATAATTCTATTCCATCAAAATACCATGTAGTTATTAAAAAATATTAAATTTATTTATTTATAAAATTTATAGGACTTTGAAATTCCTTTTGTAAAAAAAAATAAACAAAATAAAAGAATGCAATTTGGTCAATATAATTAAACATTCCAATTTCATGGTATTCGTTCAGAATTTGCAAACCAAACGCTCTATTGTTGGGTTTGTGTTGAAATGTTTAGGGGTGCAATATGTCGAAGGAAACAAAAGTTAAAACGGGAATTTAAAAACCCTAATCTTCCGTTAAAACCTTGAATTTCCAACAGCCAATTGTTACAAGAAGGTACGTTTTCTGAAACCCCAATTTGCTTTTGATAATTTATTTTTGTCGTTAGTTTGTGTTTCATATCACATAATCTTCTGAAATTCCCAGCAATTCATAGCATGCTTTCCTGAACCATTTATTTCCCAGTTACTTGCTTCTGGGTGTGTGATTGAATGCCCAATTTGTAGTATCGTTTTTTGAATGTTGTTGCGAGCTGCCATTGAACATTTGAACTCCTAGAAAGGTATCATGCCAGATCCTTTACTTCACTCATTTCATCTTTGTGGATGCAATGTAGAAGTCGTTTTTAGTGGAAATGATAGAAGGATATAGTTTCACAGGTCAATATCTAAAAATTCCCTGTTGCCTGCATTTCTTTTCTTCAACACCATGGCAAAAACAGTCGCTACTATTGCTGTTATAACGCAACAAACATTGTTGTCGTGAAGCTTTGCTAACCCTGATTGATTGGCTCTATTAATCATCGGTTGGAAAAGTTTCATCACATCTAATCCATGTCATGAACAAATCATTTTTTTTTTGAAGAAAGTAAAACAATGAAAACGATCAGTCAACTCGATGAGAAAGTGTGTGATTTTATATCAATTTGTATAGATCAGGACAAGGGGTTTCAAAAGGTAAGTTCATTGTTTTTCAAGTATGGCATGCCATTTAAGCCAAAGTAATGAAGAAGTATTATATACCTAAAATAATGGTATAACACATTGGTTTTGAAAGTTCATTGTTAATGTCAAATTTTTAGTATGAACGGAATGAGTTAAAGAAGTAAAAGTTCATTCACCAAATATATGCTATTTGATGTGTTTCTGCTAACAGTTTGTCATTCTGAATATGTTTTTGCTAACAGTGCTTTGTGAATGGCATCTGATGCGTCAGAGAGCATTGGGCAAAAGCCAAAGATACAGATATATTCGACACCAAATAATGAAGTCACCCCCTTCTGGAAAGGTATATCTCTTGCATGCACACAAACACACACATGATGGCAGTGAAGGTTTATTAATTCTAAATCTGTAAGTGTCTCACAGAGAAATATGAAAGGGATGCTAAGAAATATTGGGATGTCTTCTACAAACGTCATCAGGATCGGGTTGGTTTTGCTTGACCCTTTATACCCATAGTAATAGTACATCAAGTGACAAACTGCTGTGCTTGGTTGTCTTTTCTGTCACTATTCATAATGTTTAAAAAATATAGCTATTTGATATCCAAGGGTGGGGAAAATATGCTCTTATATACTGTAAACATCCTTGGTCTTTATATACATCTAATTGTTCTTCTTCCACTGCCCCTTCATGGTGTAGTTTAACCTGTACAGTGTTATGATATGTAATTTCTGTTGGATTCTTTTTGTTCTCACTGATGTGATATTTGAGTGAATCCAAGTTAGTTGTTCTGGTACAAATGTTCATGAAACTGAATGCCAAGTACCTTGTATATATTTCTTCGATGAATGCTTTTAGCTTCTATTAGAGGTTAAGATTGTGTGATTTTTTTTTTCAGTTCTTTAAGGATCGACATTACTTGGATAAAGAATGGGGGCACTATTTCTCTGTGAGTGTACACAATTTTTACTTACCTCTTTTTTTGAGTTTAATGATACTTAGAAGAAAGTATAAGCACTTCCAGGCTGTAAGAAGGCTGAAACATATCTTGAATTTTCAGGAAGCAGAGGAAAAGGTTGTTCTAGAGGTAAATATTTATATGATATATTTCGTTGACAAAATTATGCTGCTTCTATAAATAGTCTATCATTTTTATATTGGGTTCAGCATCGGCTAGTACAGAACCATACTGATAGGCTTGCTTAGTGACTGTTTTTAAAGTTAAGTTGTTATAAAATAAAGTGGGATTAAATTGATTGTTCGGATCATGGCTGTCTAAAAAATCTTGTCAGTTTAGAAAAGTAGAGGTGCTTAACATCCTTCAGTATGTGAGTCTGATATTATTTAACTTTTTCAAATGTATGCGAACGTATCCTTCACTATGCGAGTCTGGTAATAGGGCTTGAATATGATGGTCTTTATGCAGTTTAATCTCCTTCACCATATTAATTCTGATTAGTACATATAATATCTCTGTTTCATTAACTCCATCCTTCTTTTTCCTCCCATATATTGTCTTCTTGTAAACTAGTATCCTATACCATCTGCTGTCTGAAGATAGTAAAGGGTCATTATACAACTATTATCATGCTAAATTTCATGCATTTTAACTTTTAAGTATTTACAATCTGAACTCATGTTTGGGATAATCTTTGCTTTTACTGATTTGCAGGTTGGATGTGGAGCTGGAAACACCATCTTTCCTTTAGCTGCTACCTACCCTGGTATATTTATCCATGCTTGTGACTTCTCACCTCGTGCGGTTGACTTGGTTAAGGTTGTTCTTTCCTACACTTTTATTATGCGTGATCTATTACTTGCTTTGAATTTTAACTTGTGCTAACTAGTATAGGAAGAGATCTTTGCTTTGCCAAGGCTTTAGGTGTTCTATGATAAGTTTGCTATATTGGAAAAAACATCTAAACTCCCTTTGAAGGCATTTTTCCCAGCGGGTGAAAAGACCCTAGTGTTCAAATTTATAATCCCCAAACCATAACTGGTAAAAAGACCCTATCCATGCTTGTGACTTTTCACCACTAGTAGTGGTTGGTAACTGGTTAATTTTTTGTAGTGTTCTTACACCTGACAGAAGTGTATATATGTTTGGATGTCAACCTAAAAGTTCTGTATTCATTGTTACTTTCACATCATAAATGGAGAAAGGGAGGTGGTAGTGTAAAATCTAAGATGGATTTTTCCAAATTTCAAGTTAAATAGGAGATGGTGGTGGACCTTAATGTCCATTGCATGATTGCATCTGCTTTGTCAATGATGACTACAAGGATACTTATGCCATGTAGTTCAGAACCTTCAAGAGATGACTGCTAATTAAATGAGATGTCAGAACCTATGCTGAAGAGGTTATACTTTTACAGAAAAGAGGGAGTATGATTTTTGTGGAGGGTGAGTCAGTGAGATTATCGTCATCCATAATTTGTTAGGTAGGTAGAATTCAAACTTCAGTTAAGGCAGTTGCAAATTAAGCGTAATATAACAACTGGTGATTAAACAAACCGTCTTGCTAGTAGAAGGAAATTCATGGAGCGGATTCCATGTATTTGGTGGCAAGGGCACAATTGAGTTTCGTATTTCGTACTTATTTTTCGAAACTATTAGCTATGTGATTTTCAATTGTTTCAAAACTTGCATTGGCCCAATCACTTTACTTGAACGATTTCTAGTTTCCACATGCATCCACACCCCAGAGTGGACAGGAAAGGAATTCTCAGCGGCGACACTCTTGCTTTTGTCAGAATGGAAATGCTGCCTGTGAAGAAAGGAAGGAGTGATTTTGTGAAAGAGCTAACTCAATGAAGGAATCCTAGCAGCAGCAGAAAAAGAGGAAGAAAGACTAGTGGGATGTGCATTGTGCACACACACTCTCCTATGAAAAAAGAAAGCTTTGAGCTCTGCCTTTTATGCATAGAACCTGAACAGTTTTTGTTAGTTTGTTCAGATTGGAGTGATATCTTGATATGGTAGGTTGAAAAGAGGGATTATCTGGTAAAGACAGATTATCATGAATCACATGTATATTTTATACTGTTTTAATTCTTGGTCTTTCATCTATATTTCATTATCTTACTTGAACCTGCAACATTACAAATTTAGATACATATGAATTATTATTACTAATGACATCTTGCTCTGACAATTCTGGCAAATGATGGTAAAATTGATGCATGTCATATGTTCTATTGATGGTAATATTTATAAATTTGTTTCTTTGCTTGATCTTACTTACTACAGGCACATAAAGACTTTGAAGAGGCTAAGATAAATGCATTTGCATGTGATCTGACCAGTGATGACCTGATCAAGCATATACCTCCATCCTCAGTTGACATTGTAACAATGGTATTGCAAGATGTTATAATGTAGGAAGTTTTAATTAAATATAGGAGCAGTTTATGGATGTGTGTACATATTTATTTTTTGGGAATACGGGAAATGAGATTTCCTCGCCAATGAATAGTATTTGACGTGTGTGGGGTATGATACATAACAAAATTCTGTTGAGCTCATACCACCCTTCTTCATATACTACCCAATGGTGAGGGGAATGAAATTCCTTTTCTATTATATCCCTGATTGTTTCACACCATACAATTTGTTTAGGGGATAATATGGTTGTTGCGAGCTACAACCATCTTTGGCCGTGGCACCATAAAATGACGTCATGTAACACAGAGGGTTGTGTGAGTCTCCCCATCCCTCTATTTTATCTCTGCCTTTGATGCCTCTCTTCTTCTACACCAGAAGATAGAGAGATAAATATAGCCTTCACATCTCACACGCCCTTCTTCTTGTCCCTTCCTATAATTTTTTTTAGACTTACTTGGTCTCTAGACTCTTCATCTACCCCCCTTTGTTGTGGGTTTGAAGAGTTCTTGAACAAACACGCTCAAAATCTTTGTTTTAGAGGTGAGGTAACAAAAATGTGGGTTTTCTTTTTCTTTAACGATATTGAGGAAATCACAAGGACCTGCTATTTCTGATTCAGTCATCATGGTTTCTGGTGGAAAATGGCAATGGTAGCTGAACAGCATCAGCAGAAGGAGATAAGTATAATAGTAGCATCAACAAAGATCAGTTAGACAAATGACGTTGTAGTAATCGCAATACCTAGCACTTGACCTAAGAGCGGACACATCTTGTGCTGTGAGATTTTTGTTATTGAGGAAGGTATCTTGTTGATGTAAAGGTGTTGCAGCACTGCTGCTTGTTTTGTTGCCCTGTTTCTTTTGATCGTCCATTGTTCCTTTTTGCTGTTGATAGAGTAGGTGAAGATCCCGGTTATTAGGCAAGAATTTTTTATGAGTTTTTTGACTGGATTCTTTTCGACCTAGTTTGGATTTCCCTTTGATCGTTCTTTTTTTTCTCCTAAAATGAAGGGGCAAGGTTACAAGGATTCTTGATGGAGGATTGCTTTCCTTTCTTGCACATTTATCTTCTTTTTTCTTTTTCTTGCACGTTTATCTTCTTTTTTTCTTTTTCTTGCACATTTCTTCTCTTTTTGCAAATAAAATAATGTCGTTTGGCAAGTGACCAAAGTCAAGCTGGCTGTATAACGCGACAACCATTATTGCCCCACTTGCTTGGGCCGACGACTGCATTTTGGCTCTTTAGACTTTCTTCTTTATGGGATCAATGTTAAGTGATTTGACTGACTTGTTAAGTAGATATTCGTCTTATCCGCAGTATCGCCTGAGAAGATGCCTCTGGTACTGCAGAACATCAGAAAGATTATGAAGGTAACAGATGGTTAGTTTTGGTATAATGATCTAAAATCCTTTTCTCTACAAGAATAAAATTTAACTGAAGCTAAACTGTTTTCATATCCAGCCAAATGCTTACGTATTATTCCGTGACTATGCGACAGGAGATCTTGCTCAGGTTCGCATTGTTCTGTTAATAATCTCACTATTTTTGTGCCAGACTTCTTTATTTTTATGTGTTTTGTGTATATTTTAAAATACGCTTCTATTGATGGTTTGCACTCTACATGAAGAATAACAACATATTCATGTTTTCATCGGCGTTATTAAATGAATGCATTTAGTCTTACATTTTAATATAACAATTATAAATGTGTTTAGATTGATGTAAACATATGGGAGCTCAAGTTTTGATACAGGTACTTGTCTGAATGACTAATTTTATTGATGAAATGATGCAATCACCTAAAAGGACTGAAAAAATCACCTCCAAGTTGAGAAAAGTTGATTAACGGAATGCAAGTCTATTGGTGGTAAGGGACCAATTACCATATGTGATTTCCTATATAATTTTATAGAATAGTTGATATGAGAAAAGTCCTCCACGTTCCACATATTAGTCAATCCGGAAGAAGGCTTGGAATTTCATTTTCCACACCCTACTTTTTTTTGGTCAATTTTCTATAGGTTATAATAATAACAAAGACAAAGTTACCATATAATTATGCCCCGTTGCTTTTGATTAGGCCCAAATGACTGATCTACAAAACATAGAAACTTATTTTAGTTAGTGTACAAAATGGAACAGTAACTCATGTACAAAACCGGTGAAGACTAAAGAGGAAATATGAATACAATCATTTATCAGAAAATGAAAATTGATAACATATGATGAGGGTGGACTTGAAAATTAAAACAAGCCAGAGGCTTAAGAATCAATGAAAGGAAATGTGTATGTGAGCAAACAAACACAATGACAATGTATCATCTTGGCCATCATCTTGTGATGCCAAGCGATAGTGTAGCAAGCATGACTTATCAACTATGATAGAGGAGTACACATCCTACACCATCTTCTAGAGAATTGGGTCTAAATATATAGGCATCCACCCATAGCCTCAATGATTTGGCTCACATAGTCATGTTCTTGATCGCACATTTCACTCTAAGCAGAAAATATCTTGCTATACCTTGCCTAACACAAATTTGGGCATTGGCTTAGATTTAAACAATTACCTCTGGGATTAATGTGCCCCTTGATTTACTTGCGTAGCTTGGATTTGCTCACATAGCCAAGTTCTAGTTCGCACATTTCCATCTCCACAAAGAACAATTAATAGTCCAAACGACTAGTTTGTGGCTATGGTGTCCAAACGACTAGTTTGTGGCTATGGTGTAAGAGTTATCATTCCGCATGGTCTGTTCCTTGAGAAACAACTAGTGGTCCATTTCACTTTTATGTGACAGTGCAGTGAAAGGGTTCACAAGAAAAAGCATCTTTTTTGCCTGGGTGCATACCTTGATATGGAAAACACCTAAATCCTAATTGTCTATTCTGCTAGTGTTTAACAATTAACACTGAATAAAGAGGTTCACAGTAATTCAATATCATTTGGGTTGATCCCCTTGGCAAATGCCTAATAAATCACACAATGGTGTTTGACATTGGATAAAAGGGTTCACTCGGTAACAACCAATAAAAACATGCTTTACACTATAAGGAAAACACTTAAACTTACATAATTACCAAAAGAATTCTATAACCGAGGAGAGTCGAGAAGATCTCAGGTCTTTCAATTTTTTGTCTATTTGACCAGTGAGGCAGGCAACTCCTAACTGAGTGTGAGGAACAAGGAGCTCTACAAACTGTTAGTGTCAACCAAAGAGCCTTTGCTGATGGCTAAGAGGGTAGTCACCCTCTTCTTTAGAGAGGACGGCGGGAACACTAGCCAGCAAACATATGGATAGTGATTAGTCAAGGTGCGGGCAAGCTAGCCCGGGCACCCTCGTTACCAAAAAGCATACGGATAGACGAAAAACAGGGGAAATTGTTACAAAAGATAAGCATATAATTCAAGACGTTATTGATACTCATGCAACAAAAGTATTTGGTAAAAATATGTATTGTAGTTATTTCAAGAGGATTTTCTTTGGTTTCATCTCATTGAATGAGTGGGTAGTTATACATTTCAAAAGGTGTGGTGGACATAAAATATTACCAACTACTTTGTTTCAGTATTCAAGAAGTTCACAAACCTTTAGTTTCCTGAAAACCTAGAGTCATCCTTGGGAAAACCTTTTGAAATAGCTGTTAGAATTTTCTAAAATATTCCAATGAATCGAGCCTCGGATTGATAAAAATGGATGGCACTTAAGATCAAGTTACTGATGAATTTTGAATATCAAAAGGGTTTCTTATTGAAAAAATAGAACAGTTTAGGAAAACGTTACTGTTTACATGGTTGGAGGAGGCTTTTAGGTAAATTATGTCACAACTTTTTTTAGTGGACTTCTCAAAGATTTTAGAGAAGGACAAAAAAATGCCTTATTTTGAGAAATGAGTGATGTACTACATGGTTAGGGGTGGTTGATTTCAACAATTGCAATGCATTTCAAATAAGAATTCAAATACTGACCCTAGTAGAAAATGTTATGGATCAAGGAGAAAGTCCATAAAGGATACGGATTTCAGAATGAGAAAAATGGAATCTGGATTACGATTAAAAAGAAAGTATCTGATCTGTACATATATAGCAGGTTTTAGAGAAATACAGAATGAAGGGATGAAGAATCCCATACCTTAGTAGCTACTCCAAGAAAATTATTAATCATCAAAAGCTTCCCAAGAAGAATACCTTCTCAAAGTTTCCTCCAAAACTTGATTCACTCTTGCTTACTCCATCTGCCCTAAAATATGTAACACTTTCTTATTTTGGGTTCTCCCTGAAAATAATGTGTTCCTTTTTCACTAAAGTCCAATCCAAGTTTCTCTATTTGTTAATTAGCAATCATTACAAGATATTAGTGCTATTGATGGAGTATGATTTTAACCTTTTTTAAAAGGATACTCGTTCGGTTTTATTATACACATACTTACACTTCGCTCCCACATAACTCTATTTCTATTACCTACACATTTGGTAGAATTCTTTTTTGGCACTAAAGAGATGTGGATCATGGATGCGTAGTCTAGTGTTGTATTATTTTTCTCATGCTGTAATGGCAGGAAAGGCTTACTTGCAAGGATCAGAAGCTCAGCGAAAACTTTTTTGTCAGAGGTGACGGAACTGTAAGTTCCACATTGGTTTTGATTTTTAGCTTTTTTTAGTTTATTTTGTTGTTATAACTATTTTTGTCGTACCTTGTTTTTTAGCGTGCATTCTACTTCTCTGAGGAATTCTTGACAAGTTTATTTCAACAAAATGGGTTCAGCACTGAAGAATGTGGTGTGTGTTGCAAACAAGTAGAAAATCGTTCACGTGAGATAGTAATGAACCGGTAAGTAATCTTATATCAGAAATTATGGGTGTTTTGGTTTCATAAGTGTAACAGGGACTGATTTAGTCAGTTCTTTATGTGCAAGGACACACTGTCTGTGTACCTTTTTGACATTGTTCCTAAAAAAGTAAAGAACATGCAATTATTCAAGAATTCTCGAAGCTGCACCCAGAAAAATCCACACGTAACATATCCCTTATCCTCTGCAAGCATGTGAAAGGATCCCATTAGGACCCGGATTCAATCTGAAATCAGTTTTTTACGTGGGTTCCATTTATTAGGACCCTGATTTTTTCACTTCTTATATTGTTATACATTTATAAAATGGATTGGTTTATTCTGATGCGCTTAAACCTTTACCTGTTGAATATGAAGTATATATTATAGAACCACATATAGGGTTATATAAATCTAATAAATAACATACGATTGTGAATTAATGTCTTAATGGTTGTATGCCGATTGTTTTTGTAGACAAGAATCAAGTTACACTATGTTAAGAGTTTAATATCTAAATCCTATTTATTTGGGTTTTGATCAGGGTTTTAGATTTAAAAACCAATTGATCTGATTCCTGGTTATTAAATCTGGCACAGATTTGACATATCCAATCTGCACTTGATTCGTTGATAAACTACCTCCGTCCTGATTAGGTTTCTTCTAATTTGCATTAACATGCTACACTTTGTTTTGGGCCTACAATCTCTCTTTTTTATGTTTTTGGTTCTCAAAAGAAGACGTGTTCGTATATATTATGTGTATATAGACACACAGACACAAATATACATATATACATATATGTATATATATAAGGGCAGGTTCTGTTAGGAACCTATAATTGATTAGGGACCCGGGAACCGTCCACAGCATGACACCTGGCATATATTCATGATGAATATGGACATCTTATTCATCATGAATGTTATAACATATTCATCATTAATGTGTGATTCATGATGAATAACACGTCCATAACATGCCAATATTCATCGTGAATGTGTGATTTATGATGAATAACACTTCCATATTCATCATGAATGTGTTATTCATGATGAATATTCATCCTGAGTAAGGATACCGTAGTGGACTGTGGGATCCTAATCAATTTTGGCTTCTTAATGGAACTTTCCTCTCTCTCTTTCTCTCTCTCTCTATATATATATATATGAAGATATATATGGGTGTGTGTATTAGGTGAGATAGATTATCTATGCCTTTTTCTGTATCAGCTTGCCCCCCTGAAAATGAACTCGTAACCTCTAAATTATAAGGTGTGGGCTCATACCATTGGACCTAAGCCTCGATTTTTAAACGTGTGCTTTTTTGTTCTTACTGCTCTGAGTATATAGGCGTTGGGTCCAAGCTGCTTTTTGTCTTGACGGTGGCAATGGTGATATCCATGAAAAAATCTCAAAGAAGCCTGAAGACGGACCTGATATCGACATATCTGAAGGATTTGCTTTTGAAATGTTTGGCATCTCTGCATCAAACGACGAGGTCAGAATTTACTGGTGTTCTTTTACTGTTACAATTATATTGATTTTGGTAACAAACAAGTTTTTACGCATTCATGTGCTGATCGATATCACTATAAATCCATCCGATGCTCATTGAACCTCCTTTTAGAGCATCTCTAATAGATTCTCTAAAATAGAGAAAATGGGGCTTTTGTTCTCTATTTTGCTCCAACAGAGTCTCTATATTGTTCTCACTTATACAGAAAACTAGAGAAAGCTCCAAGTTTAGAGAATTCCCTAAAACTTGATCTGTGGAGAGAGAAATTACTTTTTCATTGATTCCCACCATTGAGGTTGAATCATTATTATTTTATATAAATTCTTTCTAAAAAGTGTATTGGGATGATAAATTTATTGAATATTTTAATAATATAATGGATGTTGAAATCTCTAAAATAGAGAATCTGTTGGAGTTAAATGTAATTCTATTTACTATTTAGAGATTTTGATTTTTGGTTCTCTATTTTAGAGAAATTATAGAGAATCCGTTGAAGAAAGATAGAGAAAGTTGGATGATATACTGTTTCATAATATGGATGGGACTACACAAAAAAAAAACTTGTCCTATGTTTGACGTGACATTAGACTGGGACTGGACTTGACTGGGTGGGACAAAAATTGCGAGGAAGATTAGTAAATTACTAAACTACCTATGTCAAATTTAAACCCTAGAACCTTTTACATTTCATTCACCCGCCTAGGGGTGTAAACGAGCCAAGCCGAGTCGAGTAGTAGGTTATGCAAGCTCAGGTTGAAAAAGTAATATCAAGCTCAAGCTCGGATAATTTTTTTGATGTAGGGCTCGAGCTCGAATATGTTTTGAGTTATCGAGCTTGATGCTCGTTTATGGGCTCGAACTTGCGATCTATTAACTAGTTCATTGTATAATTTATGAACATATGAGCATGTTTGGCTTGGAAAAGTGTATGCTCGAATGGTTTGACTCTACTCGGAAAATTTAATCAAGCTTTCGAAAGAGCCGAGTCGAACATTGGTGTTATGAAGCTTGGCTTGTTAAGTTAAACGAGCTTTACTTTGTGTTCGAGCTCGAGAATTACTAAGCTCGAGCTCTGGTAGCTCGTTAAAAGCTCGACTCGTTTACACCCATCACCTGCCTACATCACTCTCACCTGTCCAGTTCCATCCACAAATCAAACACACTAAAAACACTTCACGCTGCTTATTCTTTATGTATTTTTCAATGTGACAGATAATGGAATACAAGTTAGGAGACTGGAACTTTAAAATCAAAATGCTATCGAAAGAGTTCCAGCACACCTGCAAATCTACAGGTTTGATGCTATGGGAATCAGCTCAACTCATGGCCTCTGTTCTTGCTTCAAACCAAACCATCATTTCAGGGAAAAAGGTTCTGGAGCTAGGATCAGGCTCCGGAGGAATCTGCTCAATGATCGCCACCGAAACGGCTAACCTTGTGGTCCCCACAGACGGAGACGAGAAAGCACTGGAGCTTCTTCGCGAAAACGTCGCTTCAAATCTTGAAGAATCTTCACGGGAAAAGCTACATATCAAGAAACTAACATGGGGTAACAAAGAAGATATAGAATCCGTCAAGAAATTGGTAACTGGCGAAAAGGGTTTCGATGTTATTATTGGAACAGATGTAACTTACGTTGCCGAAGCGATAATACCATTGTTTCAAACTGCAAGAGAGTTGATTTCTACAGATGGAGGAGGTAACGAAGAGGAATCGACACCAGCACTCATATTATGCCATATTTTTCGTAGAGTTGATGAAGCATCCATACTTTCGGCTGCATCTTGTTTTGGTTTTCGGCTGGTTGATCAATGGCCAAACGCTGTGTCCGAAAGCCCGTCACGGAGCATCATTAGCAGTTGGTTTGAGGGTAGAATCAGTGAAGGGGACATTGAAAATCCAGCATTGAACATTATGTACTTCCATGCCAAGTAAGTGATCTTGCCTTTTTATCTTTCTCAAGCCTTCTTAAAAAGTTTGAGAAATATGGTAGAATTTCTATTCGTAAGCCGGGAGTCTTTTGGAAAACAGTATTTTTCTAGTCTTTTAAGACGGGTAATGTCCGGTTTTTTCATCCGCGTATGTTGTTTTGTATCGGTACCGAGCTGTATTCATACTGGATTATTGTTATACGAAAGGATCCTATACAAAATTCGAATACCATTCGTTTTTCTTGACTGATGCCCGTAGGTTCTAATTTTGATCTTGAAGATTACATTGATACAAAATGAGTACTTGCTTTTAAATGGACCTCATGGTTGTTATTTAACCTTTCTTTGACACGTGTCATCCTTTGATTGGTCAATAGTTATGTCCGATTAGTTAATTCAAATGGTCATATTATTGAATAAATACTTTTAAAAAATAGCCATTCAAATATATATTTTTTAAAATGTACAGGTTCTAAGGGGGTGTTTGGGATTGCTTATAAAAACTGCTTTTTAACTTATGTCAGTCAGACACCGGTGATAAGTTGTTTTCTGATGTTTGAACAAGAAAAAAAAAACTGCTTATACCGGTGCCAAACCGGTAATAAGCCGTTTTTGATAAGTTAATCCTTCCTGACTTATGAAAAACTGCTTGTTACCAGTTTACAATTTTAACCATGTTTTATTTAACTCCGGTTTGATACCACATAAGTTAATAAACACTATTACAAAAAAGCATAAGTTGTTTTAAATAAGCAATCCTGAACACCCCCTAAATCAAGTGGTAATATTTCAATTTTCAAAACGGTTTTCAAATTCCTTGTGGTTGGTTCTCAATCTCAATACCCAAAGATTACGTTATTGAACTAATCGAGGAGCATAATCGGAAAATCACGTTTGGAGAACGTTTGGTTTGGTGATCATGTTTAATAGAAAAAAAGGAGCTTAATGCAAGACGTTACTGTACTGTGTTTCGATGAAGAGTATAATATAAGACACCGGAGGAAATTCCACCTAAAAATGCCACTTTAAAAAAACTGTGAAAGCAATGAATACGATGCAACCAAAGCATACACCAAGATGACTTGTGTCGCTCGTATCTTTGTGTAACGATTTATTGGATTGATAAAACAAAGCAGTCAAAAAGACAATTTGCACCATTACGTTTGAGCAATCTGGTCACCCACATGGTAGAAACAAATTATTTAAATTTCTAAATTATATGATTAAATTCTATTAATTATTGGATAAAATAATAATAATATTGTATGTGTTGAAAATTTAAAATTGGTTTTGATGCCTATATATGGTGGGCTTTTTTTTTTCCGTTATGTGACCGATATTATGAAAGAGTACGGAATAAAAATCTACTTTCACAAATTTTCTTATTATAATATTATAATTTTATTTTTCTTTATTACAACATACTTTCGAATTATTTTTTGTTAAAAATTGTAGTTTGAGAAATTTATTCATTATAACAATGATTGGTTAACCTTTTGATTAGAATTAAGATGACATGACACATGTTCTAGGATTTCCATGCCATGTCACTATCCACGTGGAATGTCCATGTATAACATATCGATTACGTGACATTTCTTATTACAACATTGTACTTTCAAAAAATTTAACTTGTATATTATTTGATAAATGTATGACATTGTTGATCTTCTCTCTCAGTGATTTGATGATGATTCTTTTTATCTATATCGAAGTGTACTATCTCTGTATTCAACTTCAGCGATCATCACTGAGTCTGTTCAATGATCCTTGAACATGTATTCTAATTCATTCAGAGACAAGTATTCTTCAGGAAGACAAACTCACACCACAAAATCTTCAGTAATATCGTAGATAGAAGCTGAAGATAGAGACAAGCAAGTTCGTGATCTAATGCGGTTTTCAGTGATAACAAGCTCGTCTACACACGTGTGAAATCTACTCAAGTTTTAGCGAACACTGAAGAAACCTCAGCGTTATTCCAGTGTTAGCGATCAGATGAATCTTGTTGAACAATATTAGTTTTTGTCTTGTCATTCTGCACACAAAGAACAAACTCATACCTTTCAAAATGAAGTACCATATAGAGTCATTCTACTGTCTTCAAACGTGCTTACCTACTTTATGAAAGACGATTGTTCATATACGGTCAAAAACCTATATATCTGTAACAAAGGACAGGCTCGCCTCTTGAAGCTTGCCACGTGCTTTTGTATCATCTGACTTGCATTTAATGCAATGGGTATAAATAGCTGAGAAGTTCTTCCTTATCAATTGTCTTCCCTTCCCCTCTAAACCACTCTAACCAAGTGAATAGCACAAAACCTTCTTAACCTATTTCTTTTAGCAAGTATTTTCTTTATTGCTATCTGTAATTTGTGTGTTTCTTTGATTCCTTTGGTAAGTTATGTATCTTATCTTTTCCGCAAACAATCAATAAAAATCTATATTGATCTTCTTTATCAATATAAGTTTTTTAAAAGTGAAAGCGGTTGTGTTTGTGTTCATCTCCCCCCCTTCTACAAACTGTTACCTATAAACTGTAGTAGATCCGGCTGGGACCAACAAGTGGTATCAAAGTATTATTTGTTTTAGTGTTGTATTGTTGTTTTGTTATCTCTTCTTTCTAGATAATTTATTTACCTTTCAAATGGCTTTGCAAAACACGAGCACAAACTTTCACGATAATGGCTCTCTTGCCAAACCTCCCCGGTTCATTAGAGACAACTTCAGTCTCTGAAGAACCGGATGTCTCTTTTGTTAGAGGGTGTGGATCTTGAGATTCCATATTACATTGAAAATGGACCATATGTTCCATTTGCAATCTCTCTAGCAGTTCCTGCTACTACTACGACTACCGCGATTTCTGAACGGCAGATTCCGAAGTTCCCTCATTAGTGGAGTGACGAAGACAAGAAATAAATGACTTTAGATACTCGTGCAAGATCTATAATAGCCTTGACTCTTCCTGGCGAGGTTTATCACTCCGTGATGAAGCTTAAAACCTAGAAAACCATGTGGGATACTCTTTATGTTCAATATGAAGGTATTTCTAAAATACAAGAATCGAGGAAGATAAACTTAGTAAGACAATATGAAAGTTTTCTTTGTAGAAAATTTGAATATTTGTCTGAAGTACATCAACGCTTTAATTGTCTTCTTATTGATTTGAGGACAGTTAGAAGAGAATATTCCAACTCAGAGACGCAGAAAAAGTTTTATGATTGTTTGCCAGAATCATGGGATAATTATACCATGTGTCTCAAGATGTCTAAGGATATGTTCTCCTTTTCCCTTAGTTCCCTTTATGGGATATTCTTAATCATGAACAATCTCGTCAGCTAAAGAAGAATCTTCTAAAAGACTCCAGAGAAATGAAAAGCTCTTCTTTAGCTTTGATCTCTGATAGGCCTTCAGCTAATCCTTTTACAAAATCCCTTGATGAAACAAGGTTTAATATTCTAATAAGCGAACTTGTAATGTTGAATGTTGAGGATTAATTTCTCAGTGAGTAACATTACTTAGTACTATATGTGAAATGTTTTGGTGTTTTCAATCTATCACTGAATTCCTTTAAAATATATATTTTTCTCTCAAGTTATGCATCTCTCTCTCTCATTGATATTCTCTCAATGATTCTCTCTTAAAACACATCACTGAACATTTTCCTTGTTCAATGAACAAAACGTTTTAAAAAATCAACTTAAACAATCACTAAATCTTCTCTATTGGTCAGTGCTCGGAAGTTTTTAAATAATGAACAGTCATATTTTATGACTTCATTAAAATTGTTTTTGAAATATGGACACAACTGTCCCCACGTCTCTGACACATCGCATCCATTGCATTTCCACGTCTAATCACCATCGTGGAACGTGTCTATTTTCATGATTTCTCCGCTTCTCTCAAATCGTCATTTTTTCTCTATTCCTTCTCTCTCATCTCACCTACAAATACATTCCTTACTCTATCGTTCACTCTTTACGCTCTCATAACTTTCTAGCTCTTTCTTTCTGAAAGCAAGAACACCAATAACCCACACGAGGAGCTCTCCAACTTCCAAATGTGTCTCCCTTTGCCAAAGAACTTACTACTGAAGCTATTATCACCTTCCTTAATGACATCCACTAGGCTTGGCCACTGAAGAAGGACTCTGACTCAGAGCTGAACAAGTCTATGAACAAAATAGAGAAGAACCGGATGTCTGCCACTTGGAACTCTTTTCTCACTTCCTCCAATCAGTGGGTGGGAAAATTGTCGGTCAAAACCAAGCCAATCAAGGAGCTCTGAACATTGGCTACTCAGTGACGAGGAACGTGAAAACTGACTTCGCTCAGCTCATCTTTGATGACCTCGTTCTAAAGCTGTTGAATAGGCAAAGAGAGAAGGTCGTCCCTTACACCAAGTTCCTCAGCGGAATCATTGCAAGGATGCTAAAGAAGCATTACCCCACTCATGGAGATATTCCTCTTTGCAAGCTTGGATCAAGAATCCTTGATCACAAGGCAAAGCCCACGGATGTTGGCATATTTCCAATGATGATGAGAATAGCTAACTCTTTTTGCTTTCTTTCTTCTACTTCTTCAGCTGCAACGACTTTGGCTCAGCCACCAAAGTCTACCCATACTGCTTCCTCCTCATCCTTCTTGAAGAGGACACAATCAACAGCCCCTCTTAGTCCTTCAAAGGGGATTAAGAAGACCAAACAAAGGAAAACCACAGATCTAGGTGAGCGCTCTTTATAGGTCTCAACTATTGAAATTTGTCCTCTCCCTGAGGCATCTGACTTAATCCCATCTATCTCCTTAGCAGGTTTTTCAGCTGTTATCGTATTTGTGGTATCTACCCAAACCACCACAGTGACTCAAGTCACTAAGAGTGTGACTTTCGGCATCACCACTGCTCGGACACACAACATCACTGCCGATCTCTTAACACTAGTTATATCTTCTCCACCTTTATTAGTCTCGGTAACACGTGTTGATGATCCTATAGTAGTTATCCTCATTATTGGTGAAGCCATCCCTTGTACAGGACCTGAATGAGATTCTCTCAAAATCTCTCAACAACATGAGACTGATCTTTTCAAAGCACATTTGAGATGTTTGGCCTCAGCGGTAATCAGTTGGATATTGTTGAGGAACCCTCAGGTACAATAAAGACCCCTTCCCTTTATTTCTTGGTTACTAGCCTTGCTCAAAATTGTTCTCCTAACA